GGAGCTCTACTATGAACGGTTGTGGTGTAGGGATTATATGACAGTCTCCTGAAGGGGACAAGTATGAATATGCACTACGGTTCAAGTTTCAAGCCTCAAATAATGAGGCAGATTATGAAGCCCTGCTAGCCAGTATTCGGATGTGTAAGGCGGCAGGGGCAAGAAAAGTTGACGCTTTCTCTAATTCACAACTGATTTTTAGCTTATACCATTGTGACTATGAGGCCACCCATCCGGCTATGATCAAATACCTGCAGGAGGTCAAAGAAGAGGTCGAGACACTTGATGAATTTTATCTAAGTTAAGTGCCCTGGTCATAGAACAATCAGGCGGATGCTCTCTCTAAGCTGGCATCATCCGCCTCCTGTGATACGCCTAGGTCAATCTTTTAGGATGTTATGGAAGAAAGAAGTATTGAACAAGATCCCATTGGAATTCTGGACCGAAGCTCAACCTGGATGGATGTTATCCGAGCTTATCTAGCAGATGACACTCTGCCGGATGTATACTAAGAAGCGGCTGCAATGAAAAAATGTGCCGCAAGCTTTGAGATTCATAAGGGAGAACTCTTTAAGAAGGGTTACCTCCAGCCGCTATTGAAATGTGTCACCACAGAAAGAGGGAAAGAGATTCTAGAGGATCTGCACTCGGGTTTTTGTGCATCACATATAGGAGGTAGGACTCTAGCAAAAAGGGTCAGGTGGTAAGGCTACTTTTGGCCCACTCTTGAGGCGGATGTCATGGAAAGGGTGAAGAAGTGTGACAAGTGTCAAAAATTTGGCAAACTCATACACCGTCCGGCTACTGATCTGACGGCTATTCACAGCCCAATGCCAATCGCCAAATGGGGCATGGACATCCTAGGTCCATATACGCCTGCTACATGCGGACGGAGGTATATTCTAGTTGTTGTTGATTACTTAACCAAATAGGTAGAAGTAGAGGCGGTCAAAGGCATAAAGACAAAGGATGTCATCTCCTTCATTTGGAAGAATATTATCACCCGGTTTGAGGTACCTATGTCTATGGTCTTTGACAATGGCCCTCTATTTGAGACGTCTACCCTCAAGAACTGGTTCGGAGATCAAGGGATCTCACATTCCTTTGCATCAGTTGGTCATCCCCAAGCAAACGGCCAGGCATTCAGTTGTTGCTCAAAAGCACTACAAACGGTTAGAACTAAAGATCTAAGCTAAGTTAGAACCTTAGCAGCTAAAACAACTCATTTAAACAACTACACACGGCCAATGGCCGCCTGCTACTAAACGATAACCCGTCAGCACCATCAAGAGTAAGACATCCGGCTACTAAATTCGTCATAGGAATCAACCGGCAAAGACTGATTAATCCCGGAGGGATTAAATTAACGCCGGTTGACCTAAATAAACTAAGGAACCTAGATGCTATAGCAAGAATCGCATGTCCTACTGACACTAGCCGGTTTTCGCCTGTCATTCCAACTTGGAATTAAATGTTGAAAATTGATTCAGAAGCGGTCAACGACCGTCTGACGTTCAATCTAGATGTTTAGTGGACGACTATCCGCTTGGGGCAATCACCAAGAGCACATCTGTCTACGGGAAATTAAGCCTGGTGCATTCGGTGAACCGCATGTATTAAGTTAGCAAAATACGTGCATATTAAAGAATTACAAAAATTGAAAAAATGCAAGTTGCAAAGATCGGCTAAACCGACACAGTCGGCAAATCTTATTATAAAAAATCGACCAAAAGGCCGGGAGAGAAACTGTTAAACGGATCCATATCCGGAGAATTAAGTGTTGTGGAAGTACAAAGAAATACATAGCACGCAGACCGGAAGTGTAGGCAGCAACCATAAGCTGAAACTACTGAGACGGAGCCGGAGGAGTATCCTTAGCAAGTGGAGTTGGGGCAAAGTTCACTTGGGCTTGGTGCTCTCCTTCCTTTTCCTCCTCTACGTCATTACCATCAACAGCCTCCTCATCCTCCTCTCCAAGCTCCTTTTGGACCCACTCTTGGAAAGGCTCAAGCTCCAGCTAACCCTCATCCTTAGCCAGGATAGCAAGATCTGCGTATCTGTAGCCCAACTCCCAGACGTTATAATCCGCCTCAGGATACATAAGCGACCGGGCCATTCTCATCCGGTCCTCGCAGTCTTGCTCATTCTCCTCAATGAGCTAGCTCTGCTCAGCCTCTAGTGTGGCCTTGAAGTTGTCCTTAGAGGCGGCCATCTCCTTCTGCAGACGGTCAACATCTGTTTTTAGAGTGAAGTTCTCCTTCCTGGTCTCCTCCAAGGACTTGAGACCCGCCTGAGCATTTTTAGCTCCAACTTAGCATTGTCGCGATCCGCCTCTAGATTTGAGGCCTTTAGATTAGCTTCATTGAGGGCAGCCAGGAGCTGTTTGATGGAGTCCGCCTGCGATAGGAGCTGAGCTTTAGTTTCAAGGTCATGAATTAGCATTTGATACTGAGCAACTTAGTGATGCGGAAACAAAGTCTGGGTTAGGTGATATTTGGTTAGGATCAAGTGTTTAGGCTAGGGGTTGAGGGCTTGGTGTTTTAATATGTGTTTTGGTTTAGTATTTAGAAGCTCCTAGCCCACGTGTATGAACTAGGTTAGGGATAGTTATGGCTAGAGTTGAACACTCACTCTACTAGCCACTAAAACAAGCTCACCCCGAACACTCCGAGTAAAGCTTACAAACTCGAGTCCACGAGTTCAAGTCAACTTGAGTCCACAAGTTAAAACAGAGAAGACATTAGACAAATATCTTAAGTTGTTGTATTTCATTAAAAATTGGAAGATTACAAACTAGAATAAAACTTCCTTTTATAGGCTAAGGATGAAGCTACTTACATTATTAAGCTACGTAATCTTAATTAATTAAACTAGCTAATGAGCACACTAATAGCTGTCCAAATACATCAATCTCAAGTAGGAAACGTCCATGAGATGGCTGCACATTGAGGGCTTCAAAACGTCCTCAAACAGTTGCATTTAATAGGCAGCGGTTACACGGAAGACCCGCTGCCAAAAGCACTGATTAGGCAGAGGTTACCGTAAAATCCGCTACAAATTCCTCTGGCTAAACTACTTCCAACGTCTTGCGGTTTTAGCTCCACTTATTATACTACGTAATAACGACTTTTAAAGCATAACTAAACAGAAAAATAAACATTAAAACAACACTCAAGACAACCATTTAAACTAAGGAATTTCAAACTTCAGAAGATGCATCCAAGGGGCGTGTAACCTCCCTCATAAACGCCTCATTGAAGCCGTGTAAGTTCTCCTTGATTGCCTTGTTGGGAGCCTTCATTTATCTTGCCTTGTGAACTGAAATAAGAAAAGGAGCATTTTCCTTCTTCTATGCTTAAAGTCACGCTAAGCATCCAAGGCAAACAAGCCTTGACTAATATTCTACCCAAGTCACGCAAGACTTGAATGGAGATGAAGCTATGACAAAATCCTATGCGTGAGTCTTGGTAGAACTTGGACCCTTGAATGAACAAACCATGGACCAAAGGGACTTAATTTTGTTGAACCTTGAAACGTGTCATTGGACCCTTCGAACCATGCATTGGACCATTACGTTCGTTAGGTTGTAGTGGGTCTTGATCCACATCCAATTCCAGATCATTCCCTCCTTCCTCGAAAAAGATTGCCCTCAAGCTTTCATCATCCAAGTAAGGAGTGAGATCACCCACATTGAACGTTGAACTCACATCACCATAGGCACTAGGAAGTTAAACTTTGTAGGCACTTTTGCCCACCCTTTGAAGCACACGAAAAGGACCATCCGACCTTGGCATAAGCTTGTTTTTGCGTAGGTTAGGAAATCGTTCTTTTCTAAGATGGAGCCAAATTAAGTCACCTTCTTTGAACCATGGTTGAGAACGGTTCTTGTTGGCCTTGGTTTTGTATCTTTCGTTCACGGCTTCAATCGTCTCAAGAACCTTCTTGGATGTTTGTTGAAAAGATTCCCACCTTTTCTTAGCATCTCCGTGCACTAGCTCACTTTTAGGCAATGGAATGTGTTTAATTAGTAATGGATTCACACCATAGACTACCTCAAATGGACTTTGGCTCGTAGTATAAGAGGGAGACCTATTGTAAGCAAACTCGGCATGAGCTAACTTCAAGTCCCAATCCCTTTGAGTCTTGTTCACAAGTCAACGCAAAAGAACACCCATGGTTCGGTTTGTCACCTTAGTTTGCCCATCTGTTTGAGGATGGTGTGAAGTACTAAACAAGACTTTAGTTCCCACCAACTTCCACAATATTCTCCAGAAAAGGGTAAGAAATTTAGTGTCTCGATCCGATACAATAGACCTTAGCACCCCATGCAAACGAACCACTTCTTTGAAATACAAGTCAACAACTTTAGAGGCATCATCTGTTTTGTGACATGGAATAAAGTGAGCCATTTTTGAGAAACGGTCCACCACTACCATGATGCTATCATTGCCCCGTTGGGTTCTAGGCAAACCCACAACAAATTCCATACTCGCGGCTTCCCATGGAACATTAGGAACTGATAATGGAACATAGAGACCTTTGTGGAAGGTACTCTTAGACTTTTGACAGGTTGCACATCGTTCCACCACATGGCTCACGTCTCTAGTCATGTGAGGCCAATAGAAATGTTCTTGGATAATTTTCACCGTCTTGTGAACTCCAAAGTGACCAGCCAAGCCGCCACTATGAACCTCACGCACCAAGAGCTCACGCAACCCACAACTAGGAACACATAGCTTGTTGCCTTTGAACAAAAATCCATCGCGTATCACAAAATCTTTAGAAGGATTGTTAAACATGTTAGAAAAATCATCATCTTCAGTATACCAACTTTTCTAATGTTAAAAACCCAATATTTGTGTTTGATCCATGGACAATAAAAAGTTCCTCCTTGACAAAGCATCAGCAACAACATTCTTCTTCCCTTCCTTGTACTTGGAACTGAAAATGAATGAATGCAAAAACTCGACCCGCTTAGCATGGTGTGAGTTAAGCTTTTGTTAGCCATTAATAAACTTCAAGGCCTCATGATTGGAATGTAGGACAAATGGCTTTAGCCTCAAATAATGGGACCAATGATCAAGAGCACGTACTATGGCATAGAACTCCCGATCATAGGTAGAGTAGTTTAACTTGACACCGTTCAACTTTTCACTAAAGTAGGAAACAGGTCTTTTGTCTTGCACCAAAACGACACCTATTCCCACGCCACTTGCATCACATTCAACCTCAAATAGTTTATCAAAATCCGGCAAAGCTAATACTGGGGCAGAACGCAGTTTAGCTTTGATATCTTCAAAGGCCCTTTGCGCAGACTCGTTCCATTTGAACACCTTGTCTTTTAGCAATTCGGTCAAAGGAGCAGTAATGGTGGAGAAGTTCTTGATGAACACTCTGTAAAATGAAGCTAACCCCTAGAAGCTACGGACTTCATGGAAATTCCGTGGCACCTCCCAAGTGGAAATGGCCTTCACTTTCCCGGGATCAACCTGTATTTCTTCACTAGAAACAATGTATCCTAGGAAAGTAATACTATTATAAAAGAAATCACATTTCTCTAGTTTGCCATACAATTTATGCCTACGCAATGCTTCGAATAAGATGTTCTACATGCTCATTTTCATTTTTGCTATATACTAAAATATCATCTAAGTATACAACAATGAACTTATTAAGAAATGGCCGTAGTACCTCATTTATCAATCTCATGAACGAACTAGGAGCATTGCACAAACCAAAGGGCATGACTAACCACTCGTATAGACCTTGTTTGGTCTTGAAAGCAGTCTTCCACTCATCACCTTCACGAATCCTCATTTGGTGATAGCCACTGCGCAAATCAATCATACTGAACACCTTGGAACCACTTAGTTCATCTAACATGTCTTGAAGTCTAGGCATGGGAAATCTGTATTTGATGGTAATATTATTGATGGCACCACTATCAATACACATCCTCCATGTTCCTTCTTTCTTTGGCACCAATAGTGCCGGAACTGCACAAGGGCTAAGGCTTTCACGCACAAAACCTTTAGCCATCAACTCTTCCACTTGCCTTTGCAACTCCTTTGCTTGTTTGGGATTGCAACGATAAGCTGCCTTGTTAGGTAATGTCGCACCTGGCACTAGATCAATGGCATGTTCAATGCCTCGAATTGGTGGCAATTCATTAGGCAATTCATCAATGAAAACGTCATGATATTCTTCCAATAAGGGTCGTATGATAGGAGGATAATTTCCTTCCACCAATTTTTCTGAAATTGGTTTTAGAACTAATATGAAAACTATTCCTTCTTGATCAAGTATTTCCTCAAATTCTGATTTAGAAATGAGGAAATTAGGCTTCTCTTTCTTCTCCTTCTCTACCTTAGGTGGTAAAGGTAGTAGCCGTACTTTCTTGCCTTCACTAGTTTTGACTGTATACACATTGGTCACACCATTATGCATAGCTTTACGATCAAATTGCCATGGACGGCCTAGCAAAATTTGACATGTCGTCATAGGTAGCACATCACACCATCTTTCATCACAGAAATTTCCCACAGTAAAAGCAACTAAGGCTTGCTTTCTTAAACGTACTTCCGAATCATTGTCAAGCCAATTAAGCTTGTATGGTTTGGTGTGTTCTCTAGTAGGCAATTTTAACTTGTTCACCAATTCGGAAGCCACCACATCCGTACATGATCCACTGTCAATGATCATGCTACAAATGCCATCCTCCACCTTACACCGGGTATTGAATAGATTTTCCCGTTGTTGTAAATCCTGCATTGGCTCAGTGTACAAGACCCTTCTCATCACGCAACAGAAGGAATTTTCACCCTCCTCTGGTTCACATTCATCACATTCGCTATCCTCCTCCTCTTCTTCATTCGTCACATAACCACCCTCTTGAATGGTTAGAGTGTTTCGTTTAGGAAAATTTGTAGCTATTTGTCCTTTTTGTCCACACTTAAAACAGGTATACTCACCCCTATCATCCACCTTATTCTCTAGTTTCTTGGGAAACATAGGAGATTTTCCCTTGTCAAAACGGCTGGTAGGCGTATGGGATTTGTAAGGAATACGAGGTGTATTCTTTACTTGGTTTTCCTTCTGTTGTGCCTCTACCTTTCGAGCTGCCTTCACTACATCATCATAGGTGGTATAAGGTAGGAGGTCCACCTTGTTGGCTATACTTTTTGCAAGGCCTCTAGTGAAACGAGCCATTTTCAATGGTTCCGTTTTTTCCAAGTAACACAAGAGACTAAGTCTTTCAAACTCCTTTACGTACTCATCTACAGTCAAAGTGTCTTGATTTAGACGAGTCAGTTTGACATATTGATCTTGCATGTATTCCCTAGGAATCCATCTCTGCACCATTTTCCTTTTCAATGCAGCCCACGAAGAAATTTTCTCCTTCCTGCACGTCTTCTCTTGGATTTGAGGTTTTCGTACCACAATCCAGCTAATTTCGTGAGTTTTAGTGTTGCCAATTTGCAACACTTTTCATCATCATACTCCTTGTATTCGAAGATTGACTCAATCCTTCGAACCCAGTCATTAAACACCTCAGGGTCACTAGAACCATCAAACTCAGGGATGTCTAGTTTCAGGAAACGGTCCTCCTTTTCAGGGTTAAACTGATTATAGTTACTCTTTGGGGTTGGCTCTCCTTCCTCCAATTCAGACAGTCTACAGTTGTGTTGATTGGTGGTTTCACCAATCGCACTCATTTGAGTATGTACATCACGTATCTCCTCACGCACAACTTGTAATTCAGCCATGAGTTTTTGTTGCATCTCACACATGAAATCTTGTTGGTTCTGGTCCGAAGTCATGGTCACACCCAAGCCCAGACCGTGGCTCTGATACCAATTGATGCGGAAACAAAATCTGGGTTAGGTGATATTTGGTAAGGATCAAGTGTTTAGGCTAGGGGTTAAGGGCTTGGTGTTTTAATATGTACTTCGGTTTAGTATTTAGCAGCTCCTAGCCCACGTGTATGAACTAGGTTAGGGATAGTTATGGCTAGAGTTGAACACTAACTCTACTAGCCACTAAAACAAGCTCACTCCGAGTAAAGCTTACAAACTCGAGTCCACGAGTTCAAGTCAACTTAAGTCCACAAGTTAAAACAGAGAAGACATTAGACAAATATCTCAAATTGTTGTATTTCATTAAAGGTTGGATGATTACAAACTAGAATAAAACTTCCTTTTATAGGCTAAGGATGAAGCTACTTACATTATTAAGCTACGTAGTCTTAATTAATTAAACTAGCTAATGAGCACACTAATAGCTGTCCAAATACATCAATCTCAAGTAGGAAACGTCCATGAGATGGATGCACATTGAAGGCTTCAAAACGTCCTCAAACAGTTGCATTTAATAGGCAGCGATTACGCGGAAGACCCGCTGCGAAAAGCACTGATTAGGCAGCGGTTACCGTTAAAACCGCTGCAAATTCCTCTGGCCAGATTACTTCCAAGGTCTTGCGGTTTTAGCTTCACTTATTATACTACGTAATTACGAGTTTTAAAGCATAACTAAACAAAAAATAAACATTAAAACAAGACTAAAGACAAGCATTTAAACTAAGGAATTTCAAACTTCAAAAGAAGCATCCAAGGGGCGTGTAACCTCCCTCATAAATGCCTCATTGAAGCCGTGTAACTTCTCCTTGATTGCGTTGTTTGGAGCCTTCATTTACCTTGCCTTGTGAACTGAAATAAGAAGGAGCATTTTCCTTCTTCTATGCTTGAAATCACGCCCAGCATCCAAGGCAAACAAGCCTTGACAAATATTCTACCCAAGTCACGCAAGACATGAATGGAGATGAAGCTATGATAAAAGCCTATGCGTGAGTCTTGATAGAACTTGGACCCTTAAATGAATAAACCATGGACCAAAGGAACTTGATTTTTTTGAACATTGGAACGTGTCATTGAACCCTTCGAACCATGCATTGGACCATTAGACTCGTTAGGTTGTAGTAGGTCTTGATCCACATCCAATTCCGGATCATTCCCTCCTTCCTCGAAAAAGCTTGCCTTCAAGATTTCATCATCCAAGTAAGGAGTGAGATCACCCACATTGAACTTTGAACTCACATCACCATAGTCACTAGGAAGTTCAACTTCGTAGGCACTTTTGCCCACCCTTTGAAGCACACGAAATGGACCATCCGACCTTGGCATAAGCTTGTTTTTGCGTAGGTTAGGAAAGCGTTCTTTTCTAAGATGGAGCCAAACTAAGTCACCTTCTTTGAATCGTGGTTGAGAACGGTTCTTGTTGGCCTTGGTTTTGTATCTTTCGTTCATGGCTTCAATCATCTCACGAACCTTCTTGCAAGTTTGTTGAAAAGATTCCCACCTTTTCTTAGCATCTCCGTGCACTAGCTCACTTTTAGGCAATGGAATGAGTTCATTTAGTAATGGATTCACACCATAGACTACCTCAAATGGACTTTGGCCCGTAGTATCAGAGGGAGACCTATTGAAAGAAAACGCGGCATGATCTAACTTCAAGTCCCAATCCCTTTGAGTCTTGTTCACAAGTCAACGGAAAAGAACACCCATAGTTCGGTTTGTCGCCTCAGTTTGCCCATCTGTTTGAGGATGGTGTGAAGTACTAAACAAGAGTTTAGTTCACACCATCTTCCATAACATTCTCCAGAAATGGCTAAGAAATTTAGTGTCTCGGTCCGAAACAATAGACCTTGGCACCCCATGCAAACGAACCACTTCTTTGAAATACAAGTCAGCAACTTTAGAGGCATCATCTGTTTTGTGACATGGAATAAAGTGAGCCATTTTTGAGAAACGGTCCACCACTACCATGATGCTATCATTGCCCCTTTGTGTTCTAGGCAAACCCACAACAAAGTCCATACTCACGGCTTCCAATGGAACATTAGGAACCGATAAAGGAACATAGCGACATTTGTGGAAGGTACTCTTAGACTTTTGACAGGTTGCACATCGTTCCACCACATGGCTCACGTCTCTAGTCATGTGTGGCCAATAGAAATGTTCTTGGAGAATTTTCACCGTCTTGTGAACTCCAATGTGACCAGCCAAGCCGCCACTATGAACCTCACGCACCAAGAGCTCACGCACCCCACAATTAGGCACACATAACTTGTTGCCTTTGAACAAAAATCCATCCTGTATCACAAAATCTTTAGAAGGATTGTTAAACAGGTTAGAAAAATCATCATCTTTAGTATACAAACTTTTCAAATGTTCAAAACCCAAAATTTGTGTTTGAGCCATGGACAATAAAAAGTTAGATATGGTGAGAAAGCTACATATGCGCCACCAACAGATCCCAAGCTGCCCAAAGATCCTTTTGATTGAGGGTCGGAATGTGACTTTACCCGCATGGGCCAACCCAACTCAAAGAGAGAATTGAAGGGGTAAACATTACCTTGGGGATAAGGCTGAGGGTTTGAATCCCCTACAGCCGCTGCAGAACCGCTTGCAACTTTGGGTGGCTGGCCACCCTTTGGTACCCCAAGGCACCCGGCTGGAAAAAAAGGTCAATCCCTAGACTGAAATTTTTTATACTCATTCCCCCAACGGTCAGACAGCTTTTTTTGAGTGAAACCCTAGAAGCCATTTGAGAAGACGTTGTTTTTCTAGATTTGTTAAAACTGGTGACCTCGTCACTCGGCCTTTGTCTGATCAACGTGGAAGGGGATCTAGGAGCTCCCTTGCTTCTATCCTGAAAAACAAACCAAATGTTAAGCACACAGTCAGAACGAGGCATTAATAATACAACCGGCTCATAACCAACTATATACGTATATAAGGCAAATAGGGAAGAACCTGGGGCAGGCGGTTTATACCCGGCCTTTAGCTGCCAGTGCGGCTTTCTTCTTTTCTGCATTTTCCTTGCCGATGTCTGCTGCAGAACGAGCAGGTGTTTTGTTTTCTGGGAGCATCCTTTCTTGCTTTTTATGCAAAAAGAGCCGCCTGTCAGACCATTTAGCAGGAAAAAATAAATCATAAGTTATAAACACTAAAGACGGCATAACATTGCCAGATGCATGCTATACATACATCTGTCAAACATGGTGCTTAAACCACAGGCGGACAAGAACCCCTCGTCCTTTAAAAACTCGTATTTGGGTACCCAGTTTTTGGGTACGCTTATCAACTCCCCGGATGAGAGAGTGGTGGTTGTGAGTTCAAAAAACCCTACTTCTATTAGTTTTTCATAGTCCTCATCCGGGACTTGTGGAAGTTTACACTTCTGCCCCACCATATGCGGCTTCTTATTATAACATCGGTATTCAAAGTTCTCTTGCCATTTTGGGGCAGAAACAAAATAGAACCGGTTCTTCCAGTAAGACCACTTAGACAGTTTGTCTAGGGTCATCAAATACTTGGGGTAGGTGTTTAATATGTACCACGCCCTCCAGCCGCCTGGGCTACGGCTAAGATAATGCATATGGGCGAAGGCCTCCTAACCGGGATGGAGACCCTGCATCTCGCAGGCGGCGATGTAGCCCATAATGTTAACCAAAGAATTTGTGGTTAACTGCCACACGCCTGGTGCGTATCCTCGCAGGATAGCCCTGATTGCGTCATGAAGGGGGAAGCGGAGACCGGTTAGAAAGGTCGCCTCATAGCAGCCAAAATAAAGGTTGACATTTGGCTGGTCATCTTTGCAAGCAATGGTCCCCAATTCAGGCGGCACCCGATTGGTATATCCTTCGCCAGAGACATGGATCAAGAAGGGGTCCCCCTCACTATTCCATTTTAATCTTTCCTCCTCCTTACTATCCTCAACTGATGATAGTGAGCTGCTGCTCTCTTCAGACCTAGACCTAGAGGCGGTATCACCCCCGTCTCTTTCGGGAACAGCTTCATCCGCCTCCTTAGAGCCAGACACAGAGGCGAACTCTTCACCGTCTCCGCCCTCTGACCCAATGATCCCGTCATTAGGAATGCTGGGTGCACCCGGGGGGATCCTCTTGTCTCCACAGCCTGTTCTATCTCAGGCGGCGCACTGTCTGCGCTCTCTTCCCTATACTCTGGATCTACAGCCGTCCATCTAGTCCGAGCCACAGTGTCCTACACAGACAACGAGACGATCGAATTGGGAGATGAACAAGAGTGATCCGAGCACCCAGAGGCGGCACCCCCAGTCCTAGACTCAGTCGTACCAGGGGACCGGCTGCTTACTAAACTATGTTGTGTCGTGTGTGCTGTTGGTGAATCCATTTATGAAACAAAATGTACACAAACGAAAAAATATGAAAGTTGAGAAGAGGGGAGACGGTACCTCTAAGTTGAGCTGAAAAGCAGTCAAGCGTCGACTAGCTGAACTAGCAAGCGAAAACAGAACAATGGCTTTCAAGATGCTCAGACAGT